GCTAGGTATGCTGAGGCAAGAAGGCCCAGTCTCAGCGCCCTTGAGTTCACGCTTGTCAAAAGCTAAAACTAGGCCCAGCCCTTGAAAGGGGGCACTCCCAGGAGAGACTGTATAAAGGCTGGAGCATCAAACAACTTTGTAAACCTGAGAGACCTGCCTTGGGGACAATGACAGGGAGAATCACCCAAAGTGACTCCTTTCATTCTGCTCTTCTCTGGCCTTTGGTTCATAGAATCATAGAACTGGAAGGGACCTTGAGAGGTCATCTAGTCCAGTTCCCTTCACTCAAGGCAGGACTAAGTATTATCTAGACCATCCCTGAGAGGTGTTTCTCCAGCCTGCTCTTAAAAATCCCCAAGGACGGAGACTCCACAACCTCCCTAGGCAATTTATTCCAGTGCTTAACCACTCTGACAGGAAGATTTTTCCCTAATCTCCATCCTAAACTGCCCTTGCTGCAATTTAAAGCCATTGCATCTTATCCTATTCTCAGAGGTTAAAAAGAACAATTTTTCTCCCGCATCTTTGTAACAACCTTTTATGTGCTTGAAAACTATTACCATATCCCCTCTCAGTCTTCTCTTCTCCAGACTAAACAAATCCAATTTTTTCAATCTTCCCTCATAGGTCATGTTTTCTAGACCTTTAATCATTTTTGTTACTGTTCTCTGGACTTTCTCCAATTTGTCCACATCTTTCCTGAAATGTGGCACCCACAACTGGACACAGTACTCCAGTTGTGGCCTAATCAGTGCGAAGTAGAGCAGAAGAATTACTTCTCGTGTCTTGCTTACAGTACTCCTGCTAATATATCCCAGAATTATGTTTGCTTTTTTTCTAACAGCGTTACACTGTTGACTCATATTTAACTTGTGATCCACTGTGACCCCCAGATCCCTTTCCACAATACTCCATCCTGGACAGTCATTTCCCATTTTGTATGTGTGCAACTGATTGTTCCTTCCTAAGCGGTGTACTTTGCATTTGTCCTTATTGAATTTTATCCTATTTACTTCAGACCTTTTCTCCAGTTTGTCCAGATCATTTTGAATTTTAATCCTATCCTCCAAAGCACTTGCAACCCCTCCCAGCTTGGTATCATCCGCAAACTTTATAAGTGTAACAGAGAGACTGTTACTGGGAGGGTGTCACCATGTCTCAGAGGGTTACACCCTGGTGAGAGGGGGCTAGGCCTGTTCTGGAATAAGGTCACTCTGTGCTTTACAGTGTGGCAGAACCTAGAATGTCCATTAGCATGGAAAAATCCTGGGGGGAATCAGCATGTGGAATGGACGAAAACCCCATCTGAATTCTCTCACATTGCCCTTCTCGTCCTGTCAGGCTACAGAATAACATCCACGTTTGCTCCAGATCATCCCATCCTCCCAGGGGGAAGGAAATGGCTGCAATGGAGGTGGCTCAGGTAAGAGATTATCACGGAGTTGGTGTTGGGCTCTGCTTGGAGGGAGAGGAGCAATAAAGGCATAAGAAGGTGGTAGCTGCTACACGTGGTGGGAGGCAGGAAATAACAGGATGTGACAAACCCTCTGAGACTTGTGTAATCTAGGGTGTCATGGGTTGTCACCCCCAGGGTGCAGTCTCGGGGGCTTCTGGGAACCGCTATGCCCTCTAACCCTCAAGCTGGGCTGGCCCTTCTCACACTGCTTTGCTGGAGATTCAGTCAGGCTCTCCAGGCCCTGTTATCACCCAACATGACAGCAGGTGGTGCCATACACCCAACTAAGCTATCTGAGTGCTTTACCTAAGCTACTCAAGGACAGATAGAAGACAACAGCCGATTTCCCAGCTCCCCAACCTTGTACACTTGCTGTAGTATAAATTCAGAATTATACCATCTTATAGTGCACAGGGCTCTCTGCAATGTAATCTCATTAATATAATTTGCCTTCCCCTCGATATGGGAAAGATACGCACAATAAGCTTGTGCTAACCAATCTCAAATTTTCCCCAGATACTTCACTCAAAATACTTAACACTGGTTAAGATAAAGCATAAAACAAGTTTATTAACTGCAGAAAGATAGATGTTAAATGATTATTTTTAGAAGAATAAAGAGGCAGGTTAACCCAGAGGCGGATCTGAGTATGGGCTTCTTTATTGTGATACTTGTTCCCCTCGACCCAATTGTCGAGTGAGCACTGCATTAGTTACATCACACTCCTTTTATCTCAGTTAGTATGTACACACCTACATCCATTACAACACCCCCAAAACCCTTATTAAGTAATAGAAACACCCATACTGTTAGTATACCCACCCCTATCTATTATTCACAGGATTACACATGTCATACAGACATTTTTACCTTGAAAATACAGTTCTTTGCATTAATGTGTTGCTACAAATTTCCTTAATCAGCAGTTCTCAGGGGACGGAGGAAGGGGCAATGAGCAGTTCTCAGGGGAGGGAGGAAGGGGCCATAAGCCAGGGCTTGTTTATGTAGCTGGGAAAGGAAGGGAAGGGGAGATAACATTTATTTTACTTTCTTTCACACAAAGGACATTCATTCCGACAACTAGATTTCTCATGCAGCTGCATCCTTATCAATTCTTACAAGCAGCAAGGAAAGGAAAAATATGGCAACTTATTTATTAAGCAAAGAATTGCTGCCTGCTTATGCTTTTGTCTCCTACTGCCATGTCAGCACATTAGCAGCTTCCCAGCTCTTTTACTTAACCCTAACATATCCCAACAATTATAAGTGATAGCAAACAGATCAAAGCAGATTACTTAGCAAATAACCAAAAACTCAAACTAAGCCTAACATACTAGATGGATAGAATTTGAATTAGCAATTTCTCACCCTGACTGATGGTACAAGCAGGCCCACAAGTTTCCATACACAAGCTAGAAATCCCTTTACCCTGGGACCAGCACTTCCTCCAGTTCAGTCTTACTTCCTCAGTTTCCATAAGTTCTCTTGTATGGGGAATGAGGCCAAGAGATGATGTCACACCCTACCTTATGTACCTTTTCCATATGGCGGGACCCCTTTTTTCCAAGGTCATTTCCCAGTCCAGTTTGTGGAAAAATACAGGTACCAAAATGGAGTTCATTGTCATGTGGTCTGGTCACATGCCGTAGCATGCCCTGCTGAGTGCTAAACGCTTCCATGGTCCATTAGCCATATTCTTTGTTGATGAGTCATCAGCACTGTCTGGCTTCTTCATTGTTGTACCTGAAAGGCTAGTTGTGGGCGTTACCCAGAGTAAGCACATTTGAAATGCAGATACATAGTCAATAACCATAACTTCAGTACAAACATGATCCATGCACACAAATAGGATAATCATATTCAGCACATGATGCATCTTGCACAAAATGCATCATAATTATGTTCCAATCATATTACTATACTGAATATGGGGTGTAGTGTCTGATAGGGCCTAATTTCAAGGCACAGGAGTTGGGAATGGAACTTCCTCTCTTTGTGGAACAGGAAATAATGCTCCAGCCAGGGCTGGGAAAACTTCACAGACTCCCAGTACTGGAGCCTGAATCTATTGACACTTATAATATATGGAGATATGCCTATCTCATAGAGCTGGAAATTCATCATGTTTAGCCCCCTGCCTTCACTAGCAAGACCAAGTACTGATTTTACCCCAGATCCCTAAGTGGCCCCCTTAAGGATTGAACTCACAACCCTGGGTTTAGCAGGTCAATGCTCAAACCACTGAGCTATCCCTCCCACCTTCATTAGTTACCACCATCCCCAATCTTTCTGGCAACTGCAAACTTTATCAGTGCTGATTTTATATTCTCTTCTAGGTCATTGATAAGAATGTTAAATAGCACAGGGCCAAGAACCAATCTTTGTGGGAACCCGCTAGAAATAAATCCACTTGACCATGGTTCCCCATTTACAGTCACAGTTTTTAATCTATTTAATGTATGCTGTGTTTATTTTGTATTATTCTAGTTTTTTAGTCAAAATATTGTGCTGAACCAAGTCATATGCATTACAGAAATCTCGGTATATTACATCAATACTATTAGCTGTGACCAAACTTTTGTTCTCATCCAATAAGGATATCCAGTTAGTTTTCTAGGATCTATTTTCTCTAAACCTTTCTTAATGGGCACTAATTATATTACCCTCCTTTAATTCTTTATTAATGAAATCCAGTATCGACTGCTCCATTATTTTGCTCAGTATTGATATCAGACTGACACTCTTGTAATTAACTGGGTCATCTCTTTTACACTTTTCAGTATTGGTACAGCATTAGCTTTACTCCAGTCTTCTGGAATTTCTCCAGTGTTCCAAGTCCTAATTAAAATCAACATTAATAGCCCACCACGCTCCTCCACCGGGTCTTTAAAAACTCTTGGACCTGGTTATCTGGACCTGTTTTTTTAAACATGTTTAACTTTAATAACTGCTGTTTAACGTCCTCGTGAGTTCTTGTTGGAATGGAAAGAGTGTCATCGTCAACATTTTATGATATGAGTACATCATCTGTTTTTCTCCAAATTCAGGAGAGAAATATTTATTGAACACTTCTACCTCTTCTGCATTATTTTTGATAATTCTGCCATTTCCGTCTAGAAATTTATCACTACCATTGTTAGGATTAATATACTTTTCAAAACTTCCTTCTTATTTTCATTGATTGGTCATTGATTTCTGATATCTTCCCTTACCAATTTTCTACAATTCTGACCTTCTAACTTATATTCTTTACTATTGACTTCCCCTTCCTTCCATATATTTTATTTGGAAAGTGTTAGGATTCCTACCAGGGAGCCACCAGCAGGGTCCAGAGATAGCCCCATCTCCTATATCAAGCTGTAACTAGTAGGTATATGATAAATGTGAAGACCCTGCCTCCATGTGTCAGTTGGGAGACACAAAGGTTCTCTCTTTCTACCCCCTGATGCCTCCTGGCTGCTCTAGGGAAGGTGGGGTGGGACTCTGTTAACATGTGCCTCCCGGAACTTCCATTTACCTGGTGCTACTGTTCTGTGAATAGTGGGGTTGTGACTGGGGCAGCAGATACTGAGTGTTGGACTCTTGCTCTTTCAGGGGCCAGTGACTTTCGAGGAGGTGGCTGTGTATTTCACCAGGGAAGAGGGGGCTCTGCTGGACCGCACTCAGAGAGCCCTCTACAGGGATGTCATGCAGGAGAACTATGAGACGGTGATCTTGCTGGGTAAGGAGTCCTGTCCCCTCAGTTATTAGAAGCTATGGGGTCTCTAAAGAACCTGAGTAGTAATAACTTTATACCTTTATTCATCATACAAGTTTTGAGACATTTCCTTGCCCCCCTTTTTTTTGCCTTATCTCCCACCCACTAGAATAATTTTTGGACATGTGCTTTTTTGGTGCTGTCAGTCATTTTAAAATTACATTTAATGGATCCTTATTGGAGACATTAATAATTAGAGTTTTCATGCCTTTTCCTCATTTTAAGAGGAAAATATGCCACCTGTAAATTCTAAATTGAGTAAATAGTTATAGGACTCATGCATGACTTGTGTGACAGTCAGATGAGCTCATCTTTTGATAGGAGAGTGCATAAAGTTGCCATTCAGAACCCCATGGGTGAAGGGAGAACAGAGCTGTGGGAAGGTAGAAAAAGGAGGGAGTAGATAATTCTGGGGTGCCAGGACATGGGGAAGGTATGTGAAGGATTAGAGCTAAGAAGCAGCAGGAAGGGATGAGGTAGTGAGAGAAGAGGAGGGAACACAAGAAGCTCCCAAGGTGCTGGGAAGTAGTGACAATTGAGGGTAATGGGAAGAAGGGGAGGAGAGTGTGGAGGAAGGACACCCAGGAAGTGGGCTGGGTGGGTCAGTGGGAGGGAGAGAGGTTTGGGGATCTAGAGCTGTGATGGATCCCGGACCTTTAACCTCGAATCCCTACCCAAGCCTTGTTTCTTTAGAGCTTACAGTCCAGTTTTATTTCTGTTCAGTTTCACTTCATTATACATTTCCCCCCCAAATATTATTATTTTAACTCTTGACCTCCCTTTCCCACTCATTACCCCCTTCCCCATATAACCTCCCCATCTCTATGCACAGCGACCCCGGTCACCGACCCTGAGTCCTTGCTGCATTCCTTCCTCCCATAATAGGGCCAATACCCAAGCACAAATGGGCACTTTGTTGATGATGTCACAGGGTGGTAGCAAAAAAATTTCAGGACCAGACTCCAAAGAGAAACTGCTGAGCTCCAGTTCATTTGCAAATTTGACACTATCAGATCAGGATTAAACAAAGACTGTGAATGGCTATCCAACTACAGAAGCAGTTTCTCCTCCCTTGGTGTTCACACCTCAACTGCTACCCTGTTTCCCCG